CTTTGACTAGAAGTCGTATAATTTAAGCATCGACCACACCGTGCACTATGTGCACTCGGACCCCCAGTCCTCCAAATGTTCTCATTTTCTAGATATTCAAATAGAGGAACTAGGATAAACAACCTTTATGTTTATCCTTTGCTGCTGAATTCTATTGATTATAGATTTTTTTTACTTGGAAATTACGTAAACTTATGGAATCTGAAAACACATTTAAAAAAATGGATGACGTCTTTAGTTTTTATCTCTTTTGTTGTTGTGTGTATAACGTATGCGTACATACATTACATATATGAATGACAGAACACATTCCTTCTCTCTATATATATCTTTCTCTGTGTGTCTCTATCCTCATATACATTAAATTCGCTCTCATTTTCTCCTTGTCCATTAGATATTTTTAAACATTTTAACACTGGCTGCAATTTCGGGTGGGTTTAATCTACAAAATACTATATTCATATATATTAAATTCGCTCTCATTTACTCCTTGTCCACTATATATTTTAAAACATTTCAACACTGGCTGCAATTTTGGGCGTTTAATCTACAAAATACTAATTCCTAATTTCAGTAAAGTTATATTAATCACAGGCACTGAGGCTAAGATTTCACTTTGAACTTTAATTGAATGGTTAATAAAATGAGTATATTTCTGGCCACAAATTCGACAGTAAAATCAAAGGGAATATATATAATGTTATTTGTAACTGATAGGCTGTATTTCCTTGCAGTTTGTTAGCTTGTCTTTATTTTGCAGTAGAATTATCATTGGAATATGTTTAACCTGTCCCTCTTTTATTGATTGGTGTATATGTCAGAGAGATAGAAGATAGATAGATAGATAGAGAGAGAGAGAGAGAGAGAGAGAGAGAGAGAGAGAGAGAGAGAGAGAGCAATTGCTACACAAAAGAAAGCTATGAAGTTGAGAGAATGCTGGGAACGGAGATGATATATGAAGAGAGAGAAAAATAATTTAAATATTTGTAACTATAGTCATCATAATCATAAGCGATATCATTTTTATTTTCTTATCCGTTTTCTTCTCTCACCTCTCTTCTCTTCTCCGCCATCTTTTTCTCCTTCTGTTCCTCTTCTTTTTTCTTTCTATGTTTATTTTCCACCACCATCTCTCTCTTTCTCTTTCTCCCTTCTTGTTAATCCCAATGAAAAGATGTTATAGATTAACCTTCTTTTATACGTAGTATCGTGGTATATATATATATATATATAAATATATATATATATATATAATTATATATATATATATCGCCGTCAATCAGTTTAATTTTACTGATCGGAATGAAAAAAAAAACGAAAAAAACGATGATAGAAATAAGGACCCTATTACCACTAGTGTATATAATGTAAATACTATTGTAAGATAAATAGTTAACTGCATGTGAGATTAATTTCCATTTCATTTTAGGCATTTCTGTATCCTAACAGTGACACTTAGCATCTTAATCAAATCCTTTCAGTTATATATCTGATATATAACTGAAAGAATGCACATGGGGATTAAGCATAAACGTCCGTGTAAACCCATACTTATCAGTCAAATCTGGTTACCTCTACTGTATGTAACTGAAAATGGCATGCGATTTTTATTTTGTTTCCATATCCGCGAATGGGACCACGACACTACTATAGGGAAATGATAATGGATAATTCTATATCTCAACTCAAGTTTTATTTCTTCCATATGGTGGCAATGAGT